ATAGAATAAAAGAAAAGAGTAACTGGTTTATGTTAAAGGCGAGAGAGAGAGAGAGAGAGAGAGTGAAGAAAAAAAAATCTCCAACAAAATTATTTGTGGCGGCTCACAGTCTCCGTCTGATGGCGTCGAGGGCGTCAATGATGGATAAGAGTGAGGGGCGGAGAGCAGGGTCGCTGGCCGAGGCCCTGCAGCCCAACTCCATCACCTCCACCACCTCCCCCGCCTACTGCAGGAAGGCGCCCATGACCCTCATCATGACCCCCAGCGAGTAGACGTCAGAGGCGGTGGTGGAGGGACCCCCGGCCACCAGCTCCGGGGCCAGGTACGGGAAGTCCTCCCACCTCAGTTTACCCTGACTGAAGATGGCCTCACCCAGGCAGCCACTGTTGCCCAGGTCAATGAGACAGGGGGACAACTCGCCCTGGAGGCCGACCCTCACCACGACGTTGTTGCTCTTGACGTCGTTGTGAGCGACCCCCCGCTGGTGTAGGTCCTCCACCGTGCGACACGTCTGTATCAACGCGTCCAGTAGGTGGACCTCCGTCACCTACGGCGGCCGACTTACCAGGACGTCATGCAGGGTGGAGGGGCCATTGAAGGAGGTGACGAGTGCTGGTGGGTCGAGGACCACACCGTAGAGGTGAGGCACCCCGGCCACCCCAGCCACTTTGGTCAGCAGCACCGCCTCTGTCAGTACCTCCTTCAGTTACCCGGAGGAAGACAGACACCGGGTGGGCAGCGACTGTTTCACCACCACCTCGGCCACGCCCTCACTCGTGTCCATGACGCCCTTGAGGCAGGAGGCGTTACCACCCTTCCCCAGCGGCTCCCCAGCTGGGCACGACTCCAGCAGAGGGATGTGGTACCTGGCGCAGATGGTCTCCGCCTTACCCAACGCTTCTCTACCACTCTTACTTAAATTATTGTTCATAATTAATTTCAAAATAATAAATAAAAAGAAAAACATAAATTATACGACAAGAATAAATCAACAATTTATTTAAATCTGAGATGTGTCTCTGACCGTAATGGCTGGGAGGTGACCATACCGCCACGCGTCAACTCTCTCTCTCTCTCTCTCTCTCTCTCTCTCTCTCTCTCTCTCTCTCTCCTTCGTGTTTTATTCAATATTTATTTAGATATTCATCTTGTGTACACACTTATTCACACGTTCACATTCTTACACACACACACACACACACACACACGGATGAAATAGTAAGTTGGAAAGTGAAAGTCCTAACTTATATTGACCTGAGAATGAGGGAGGGAAGGAAGGAGGGAGGAATGGTGTGTGTGTGTGTGTGTGTGTGTGTGTGTGTGTACTAGATGTCGGTCGGAGAGTCCAAGACCAACTTTATTTTATTGCGCTTTTACTGTTGAGTCTCTGGCTTATGGAGTGAAGGAGGGAGAGGGAGGGAAGGAGAGAGGGAGGGAAGGAGAGAGGCAAAGAAAATATGAAGGAAGGGGAGAGTCAGGGAGAGGGGAGAAGAGGGTGAGACAGGAAATAAAGGAGGGGGCAGGGAGTGGGCAGGAATGAAGGGGTGAGAGGGAGGAAGGGAAGGAGAGAGAGGAGGGGGAGTGAAGGAAGAGAAAGGATGAGAGAGGAAGAGAAGGGGTCAGGTCACAGCATCTAACTGGTACTGACTGGTTCCTCCCACGCTGGGGTCAAAGGTCACGCCAATGTAACCTGTCAGATAACACCGGGTCCTTCCACTCTGAACCCTTGAACGAACCCTCGAAACCACGAACCTGCTTCTTACCACCATTACTACCACCACTATCAACCACTACCACCACCACAAGTACTACCATTACTAACACGAACCACCACCACTACCACCACTAACAGGTGTGTGGGTCAGTAGGACACAGGTGAGTTAATAGCGCACATGTGGTCCCCAGCGTGACTCATAAACATCTGTTAACACACCTGTCTCTCTCTCTCTCTCTCTCTCTCTCTCTCTCTCTCTCTCTCTCTCTCTCTCTCTCTCTCACTCACACACACACACACTAAGTTAAGGTTTCCGGTAGACAGAGAACGAAACAAAGAAAGACAGATAGACAGAGAAAGACAGACAGACAGACAGACAGACATAACACCAAACACTCCATCATTCCTCAATAAATCAATAAAAACACAAACATTTTAGTCACCAAACACAACAAAGCCATTTTCTTCCTCTAAATTAAATATGTCATCATAAAGACAAAAATTATCCTAAAAATGTAAAAAAAATATGATAAAAAACGTAAAATAAGGTCAATATGGCAACACTGTGGGGAGATCAGGTCAGGTTAAGGTACATTGACCTCTACTGCTACTGTTTTTAGGGGTCAAATTCACGTGTGTGTTTTTTGTTGTTGTCGTCATCTTGGTGGGAAATTATTTTTGTACATATAAATATTCCTGGACTGCCAACTGAACTCTGATGTTTAGATGTTTGGGTCACGTGATGTTTAGATGTTTGGGTCACGTGATGTTTAGATGTTTGGGTCACGTGATGTTTAGATGTTTGGGTCACGTGATGTTTAGATGTTTGGGTCACGTGATGTTTAGATGTTTGGGTCACGTGATGTTTAGATGTTTGGGTCACGTGATGTTTAGATGTTTGGGTCACGTGATGTTTTGATGTTTGGGTCACGTGATGTTTAGATGTTTATATTATGTGAGGTCGATGTTAGGTGCTCCTCTTCGGCCTCCTCCTCTCCCTGCCCTCCTCCCCTCCCTCCTCCTCCTTCCTGCCCCCGTCTTCTCTTCCTCTTCCTGCTCCCCTCCTCCTCCTCCTTCCCCCCCTCCTCCTCCTTCTGCCCCCCCCCCTCTTCTTCTGCCCCCCCCTCTTCTTCTTCCTGCTCCCCTCCTCCTCCTTCTTTTTCACATTGACCTTTACAGAGTACAGCCCTCCTTCTCCCTTCCTCCCTCCTTCGTTTCTCTTCGCTCCCTCCCATCAGGTGAGCTAATTACTTACTTTACCTTAAACTGAATTAAACCTCTCTCTCTCTCTCTCTCTCTCTCTCTCTCTCCGGTGGCATGCTAGTGTATAAACATAACAAGATATCGATTAGAGAGAGAGAAAGAGAGAGAGAATGAAAGAAGAGAGATAAATATAGATAGAGTAACAGATAGATGAAGAGAGAGAGAGAGAGAGATAAAAAATCACCATTTCACCCCGCCTAGCAAGACAGCGTATACTTAATGTGATCTCAGTTTGTTTACGTTCCTACGAGCCTAAAAATATCCCCAGATGGTCGACCAACACGCCACTGACCACATCCACCCTCACCTTACATACACACGGACAAAATATCGGGACAAAATTCCACCATCTAAAATCCCTTTGGTCATTAATCTCACCAAATAAAATAATCCTAATAAAATCCCTTTGGGCATTAATCCCACTTTATGAAATCCCTTTGGTAAATAATCCCACATAATAAATAATCCTAACTAATAAAATCCCTTTGGTAAATAATCCCACATAATAAATAATCCTAACTAATAGAATTCCTTTGGTAAATAATCCCACATAATAAATAATCCTAACTAATAAAATCCCTTTGGTCAATAATCCCACATAACAAAATCCCATTCGACAATATCGGCCGTAGACTGATAGGATAATTCTGCCCGTAGATATTTTGTTTAGTTTCTCTTGTGTTTATAAATACGTATGTTGTCTTGTGTTATCATATGTTGGGTAATATTAATATTTTCGTGTTTATATTTTGGTGTTTATAGCGGTTTACTTATATTCCTTGAGGTGTTTATTATATTAATTTATGAATCGATCGTAAGCATTGTAAGTGACGTGAACAAGTGAGCATCAGGAAATGAATCAGTGAATTGAAAAAAAGACAAGTGAACGTCAATAAAAAAAAGACAATTGAACCTCAGTACATAAACAAATGAGACTCAGCAAATGAATAAGTGAATTGAAAAACAATTGAGCATCAGTAAAAAAAAATCAAGCACCAGTAAAAACAACTGAGTATCAGTATAAAAGCAAAACAATTGAGCATCAGATCATAAACGAATGAGGGTTAGCGATAAATAAAACAACTGGGCATCACGATAAAAACAACTTCCTTATATTCACCAAAGGTTAAAGGGGTCGACATCTGTATCCATCTCTGTCTACCATGATACAGTAGTTCCTCTCTGCCTCCAAGACTTTCTGAATTAACTTACAGTCTCTCTCCCATAACTAAGGCTCTCCATCTTAATTTATGTCTTCCTCATGAACTTTCTCCCTCTGATTGTCTTACCCTTCCTCTCTTCTGATTACCGTCCTCTTCCTTCCTCCTCCTCCTCCTCTTCCTCTGATTGCTTTCCTCTCCTCTGATTACTCTCCTCCTCCTCTCCTTTCTCCTCCCTCTGATTGGCTTTCTTTCCTCCTCCTCCCCCCCTTCTTATTGCCCTCCCCTTCTTTCTCTCCCTTCCTCTGATTGCCTTCCCCTTCCACCTCATCTCCTCTCACCCCCCTCTCATCGCTTCCCTCTCCTCTTCTCGTCACTTCCCCCAACAACAACACAAAACAAGTGAACATCAACAATAAACGAAACAATATACTCATACAAAACAAAACACCAAACACGCCTCCCACAACGACACTTACAGCTTTTACAGTTCCGCTATATAAGGAGTGTGTGAAAATACCTCCTCGCTTTTATCTTCGTGGAATTATGGTAATACGTTTAGTTTATGGGTCTGTCGGTCCTCTTTTGGTGGATGACTGACGTGTGTGTGTGTCTTGTCTGTCTCTCTCTCTCTCTCTCTGTGTCTATTTGTATATCTATATCTTCTCTCTATGTTTGTCTGTGTCTGTCTATCTATCTGTCTATCTATCTACACACTCTCTATATATATCTAACTATCTATCTATCTCTCTATCTATCTGTCTGTCTGTCTGTCTGCATTCTCTCTCTCTTCAACCAGGTTCTCGAGGCATTAAAATCCACATTCTTCACGTGTATCCAGCCACCAACAATGACACCACAGCCAACTGAATTTATTTTTTTCTAGTCAATACGAAAAAACAGTGAAATTCACATTGTTTACATCACACAAGGAACTCATACAACTGAACATTAATTAAGAAAAAAAGGTGAAAATAGTGAGATGTTTTACTGAATCTTGAAAAAAAAATATGGTGGAGGGAATGGAGGGAAGAGGTGCGTGAGAGGTGAGGTAAAAAATGACTCCGAGGTTACTATATGCTACATCAGACCAGGACGGAGGGATCATCACCCCCTCGGACACCCCAGCGTCTGTATAGTGGGGTGCCTCCTGCTGGGGTGGTCCGGGGGGCGACGAGGAAGATGGTAGGGGGAGCCACACCCCCACCAGTCGCCATCAACAAAGTGCTGGACGCCTGGAGTGAGTAAATCTTATTATATAGGAGAGTGAGTTGTTTATTTTGTCTCATTCTCAGAGTCACTTAAGGTTCGTGTTTTGATATTTCCCGCTATTTTTGTCATATTTTGGTATTTTCCCGCTAAAATGGCTAGTATTTTTATATTTTCCCGCCCAAATGGTTAGCATTTTGGTATTTTCCCGCTTATATGGATCGTATTTTCATCACTAAATCACGTTTTAATATTTAAGTATGCTTCAGTTTCGCATTTCGTTCGATACTGTATCACTCTTCCTGTTGGGTTTGTTAACATAGTTGTGTTGTCACTGAGTGTTGGCAGCGTCCCGGAGGTGGAAGTTACTTGTCGTTAATCCCCTATCTACATTACGTCTTGATTTTGGGTATAAATTTGGCCTTTTGCGCCATTATTATTATTATTATTATTATTATTATTACCATCTTTGTTCTTATTATTTTTATCACCACAATCATGTAAAACTGAACAGCAATCATGTAAAATAATAAAATAAAATAAACCACAAAATTACATACACGATATCAAAACTCCTATAGTTATCCCCCTTAAACTAACACTACCGCCGTTTTCTCTCTCTCCCTACAGATGAGATGATAGAAAATGAGAACCACAGTCTGCGGGATCGTGTGTCAGACTTAGAGAAAAAGGTCCACGAGCAAAATGACGAGATTATGTGCCTCCGGTCCACCCTGGCTGATGTCCTGAGAAGATTAAGCACAGTTGAAGGTGCTAGTAGAGGTGTGTGTGATTATCCCACTTTTTTAATAATTCCCACGACTATATTTACATTTTAACAACAGTATTTTAAGTATTATTAGAGTATTATTCCCAATGCCTTATTTAAAACGATTAAATATATATAAAACACATAAATATTAAACCCACAAAGACGTTATTATCAGTTAACATAAATATTCAGTTAATTACACTCAGATCTCACTTATATTTCCATAGCTAACATCACAATAACATAGACAATTGTGATACGTATTTGTAATTTAATATAGATTGGGATCACCTGAAGAATCACCTCTACCCCAGCATATTTCACCTAAAGATTAACCACCCTAACGCTATTTGGGGGGGGGGTGAAGATAGGGTACGTTTGGTTAGGTTAAGTTAGATTAGGTTACTTTAAAGTTAGGTTAGGTTAAGTGAACGTCAGCTTAGGTTAGGCTATGCTGTGTTAGATTATCTTAGGGTAAAGTTAGGTTTGGCTAGGTTAGATTAGATTAGCTGAAGTTAAAGTTGCATTAGGTTGAAGTTAAGTTAGGTAATATTAAAGTTAGATAAGGTTAGTTTCAGTTAACTCTATATGAGGTTAAGTTAAAGTTAGGTTCGGTTGGATTAGGTTAAGTTAAAGTAAAGTTAGGTTAGGTTAGATTAGGTTAACTTAAAGTTAGATTAGATTAACATTAGGGTAATTAATCTTCAGGTAAAACAACAAGGTAGGGGGCTTAATCTTCAGGTGATCCTATACTCCAATATCCGTGTGTGGTGTCGTGAGCCTGAATACTGTTGATTCCAACCCTGTCATCTCAACACTGGCCACTGAGATTGCTTTTCCCCCATCACCCGTATTTACCGTGGTCCATCTAATCACCCAACTGGACCCAACTGGACCAATGTGATCAGCTGGACCCGTATGGACCAATTTTAGTGCTCAATGTTTTGTTTAACTGGGTGTGGATTAGTGTAGGTGAGTGTGGGTGAATATAGGTGAGCTTAGGCAACTGTAGGTGAGCATGGGAGAGCATAGGTGACCTTAGACAACTGTAGGTGAGCATAGGAGAGTATAGGTGACCTTAGGCAACTGCAGGTGAGTACAGGTGAGCTTAGGTGAACACAGGTCACTAATACCGCCACATCCGCTCCTTACAGTCAGCAACAGCCACAGTATTGGACGGGCGACTCCCACCAAGGAAGCCGGGATCCGTTTACGTCACCAGAACAATGACATAAGGGACTCCTCCAAGCGGGCGTCTTCATATGTCCCCGGCCGCTCCACCTCCACCTCCCACATCAGGTAGGTATTGGGAGGGGTTAGGTCTTCGGGAGGAGGAAGGGAGGGAGGGAGGGGGGGTTCTAGGAGGGAGGGATGGAGTAGGTGTTGGGAGGGGCGAGGTCCTAGAAGAGGGGGAGGAGAGAGTTCTAGAGGGTAGGGGGGAACTGCACGGAAAGGGGAGTTGCTAGGAGAGGGAGGTGGTAGGAGAGGGGATTGCTAGGAGGGGGTGCCACTAGGATGGGGGAGTTGCTAGGAGGGATAGTTACTAGGACAGGAAGTTACTAGGATACTGAACTGCTAAGAAAGGGATTCACTAGAAGAACTATTTGCTAGGAGGGTCAGCTAGTTAGTAGGACGAAGGAGAATAACAGATAAACAAAAAATACAACAATACACAAAGGATAATACAGGATAAACAAAAGGGGAATAAAAATACAACAACAAGTATAATAAACAGATATACAATACAATATACTGTATAAGGTATATTCAATCATAAAGGTGAGGTATATAAAGGTGAGCTAATTAATCTCAATACCTAAGGGTAGATGAGGGGGTAGGGGTAGGTAGGGGGGGTTTGGTTGTAAATAGCTCCTGTGTGATTGCATGGAGTGTGGTTTTGCTGTGTGGGAACTGTGCCTTCAAAGGGTTACATTTATACACGTAGTATTTTAATATGCAAATTAGTTTACAAGTTTATTATTAATTCATGAGTATATAGTTATCAGGTGAGTTATATCAGAGTTATAAATATATAAAAAGTGTCATATGAATTAGAGTGATGATGGCTTGTGTTTTGTTTTTGAAGTGTGTTTTAAAGTGTACTAAACTGTGTTGGATCTGGAAGCCTCGTTGAGTCATGCATTAGTGTCTGTCATTTAAGCTACAGCATGTAAACTATAATATTAAAATAAACTTCTCTTTCTTTAATAATTGTATTGCTGAGAGAAAGATTAAAAGAATCTTTGTTTATTCTGAAGTAGTGTATATAGATATTTAGGCTCCTTCATTTATTTTGCTAAGCTCTTTAAATGCAAATATACATACTCTGCAGCTCTACGTGTAATGCATTCATATTATCATTTGATGCTTCAATAATTTGGCCAACTTACTTTGTTTTGTTTACTTTTTTTATAAGCTTTCAGCCAATCCAAATTTTATATTAAAAAAATTATTATATATCTCGCCCATATAAGCAAGTCCCCCTGTTAAAAGTGCACTTCCCGTTTACTCACTAATACCCGTTTTCTCTCACATTTGAAGCCTAGACTGCTTAAAAATCCTCCACTAGCGAATTCCCTTTGCCATTCCTTATTAAATATCACTACAAACCGCTAATCATTTTTTTATACCGAACGAAACAAAGAGAAATAAAACATAAGCTAACGATGCTAATATAGTGTCAGGAAATAAGAAGTTTTATAGCGGACATTACAAAACCAAATTCTTAACCTCCTCCTCAACCGATTTCCCTCCTTGACTCGTATTCTGAAAGGCCCGTCAGTCAGTTAATTTCCCACATAATTTCCCTTAAGATATCGAATTGCTATGGTCTTAGGGTAATCTTGACGCCACTATAGCTGTCCAGAACGCCATTTTTTTGCGGGGGGGGGGGGTTATACACACGGGCCTTTTAAGACAACGAAATCAAGGGACCATTTGTTTATCTTAAGCACTCTAGGCTTTAACCCGAGTGTAGGTGAATGTGTGGGTGAATGTGGGTGATTTTGTGAGTGTGTGGGTGAGTGTGGGAGTGAGAGGTTGAGTTTAGGTGAGTGTGGGTGTATGTGGGTGAGTGTTGGTGTGTGTCTGTGTGTGTGTGGGTGAGTGCTGGTGAGTGTGTGGGTGAGTGTGGGCGAGTTTAGGTGAGTGAGGGTGAGGTGGATGAGTGTTGGTGTATGTGGGTGAGTGTGGGTGAGTGTACAGTATGTGACTGTATATATTTGTGTGAGTGAGAGCCTATATTTGAGTGCGGGAGATAACAAGCGAGAGAGGGAGTGTGTGTGTGTCCTACACCCGGAGTTGACACCTTGCCACCTGCCCTCTACCAGCAGACGCGGTGCCCACTACCAATCCACGTCCAGCTTGTACTCTGACGGTCACAGCTCCTCCTCTGTTAGCCCCGCGCCCTCCCCTTCCCCCACCCACGCCCAGGCCCACACGCCTACCGTCCACCACCACCACCACCACGCCCCCTCGCCCACGGCCCACCACCACCATGCCAGACACACTACCTTAGCCTCTCCTGCGCGCCCTGGGCCAGTGGGGGCGCTCAACAAGAGATGGGCGTCTACCAGTGACTTCGCCACGCCCAGTCGTGTCGGCCACGCCCATTCCCCCACGCCCACTAACTCACAGCTTGCCAGGTAGGTGCCAGTTGCCCCCAGCCAGCTTCATCTATCCTTTTTTTTTCAATTCTATTCAGCATTTTTGACTATGAGCGCATGTGTTTGATACCTCTTGTCATGTTATTAAAATTTTGTTACGTCTTGTTTAGTAATATTTAATAACCTGTGTATATGTTTGTTGAAGTTTATAATGTTTGTTTTATTATATTTAGTTTTAAGTCCTAATAAAACCATTAAATAACCTATAACAGCATTTAAAGTAATAATTGGACAGGTAACTCAGGTAAATTAGCCTATGTTAATGTTTTTGTTTTCTCTATGTAAAGACTCTCCTCTGGTGTTTACTTATCAAGGGATATCTATTCAAGGTAGACAATTGTTGACTTGTTTGTTTTCTTCCTTGGTTGGCAGACAGATAGCAGACCTGTATGTAATATTGTTTGTCTTGTTGTTACAGTCTCGTGTTTCCTCTGTAGACAATTTGGGTATGGTATATATTGTTTATCTTTTGAGGAACTGTTGTTTACTGTAGATTGTTTTCTTCTGGTGAGAATTATATGTTGTTTGTAGTGTATGAGTTTGATTGTAGACTATTTGTTTGTGGTGTAAGGTATTGGAGCCTAGTATTTACCAAGTATAAGTAATCAAAGTCTAGTATTTACCAAGTATAAGTAATCAAAGCCTAGTATTTACCAAGTATAAGTAATCAAAGCCTAGTATTTACCAAGTATAAGTAATCAAAGTCTAGTATTTACCAAGTATAAGTAATCAAAGTCTAGTATTTACCAAGTATAAGTAATCAAAGTCTAGTATTTACCAAGTATAAGTAATCAAAGTCTAGTATTTACCAAGTATAAGTAATCAAAGTCTAGTATTTACCAAGTATAAGTAATCAAAGTCTAGTATTTACCAAGTATAAGTAATCAAAGTCTAGTATTTACCAAGTATAAGTAATCAAAGTCTAGTATTTACCAAGTATAAGTAATCAAAGTCTAGTATTTACCAAGTATAAGTAATCAAAGTCTAGTATTTACCAAGTTTATCCCTAGTATTTACCAAGTATAAATCAAAGCCTAGTATTTACCAAGTATAAGTAATCAAAGTCTAGTATTTACCAAGTATAAGTAATCAAAGCCTAGTATTTACCAAGTATAAGTAATCAAAGTCTAGTATTTACCAAGTATAAGTAATCAAAGTCTAGTATTTACCAAGTATAAGTAATCAAAGCCTAGTATTTACCAAGTATAAGTAATCAAAGTCTAGTATTTACCAAGTATAAGTAATCAAAGTCTAGTATTTACCAAGTATAAGTAATCAAAGTCTAGTATTTACCAAGTATAAGTAATCAAAGTCTAGTATTTACCAAGTATAAGTAATCAAAGCCTAGTATTTACCAAGTATAAGTAATCAAAGTCTAGTATTTACCAAGTATAAGTAATCAAAGTCTAGTATTTACCAAGTATAAGTAATCAAAGTCTAGTATTTACCAAGTATAAGTAATCAAAGCCTAGTATTTACCAAGTATAAGTAATCAAAGTCTAGTATTTACCAAGTATAAGTAATCAAAGTCTAGTATTTACCAAGTATAAGTAATCAAAGCCTAGTATTTACCAAGTATAAGTAATCAAAGTCTAGTATTTACCAAGTATAAGTAATCAAAGTCTAGTATTTACCAAGTATAAGTAATCAAAGTCTAGTATTTACCCAAGTATAAGTAATCAAAGTCTAGTATTTACCAAGTATAAGTAATCAAAGTCTAGTATTTACCAAGTATAAGTAATCAAAGTCTAGTATTTACCAAGTATAAGTAATCAAAGCCTAGTATTTACCAAGTATAAGTAATCAAAGTCTAGTATTTACCAAGTATAAGTAATCAAAGCCTAGTATTTACCAAGTATAAGTAATCAAAGCCTAGTATTTACCAAAGTATAAGTAATCGAAACCTATTATTTACCAAGTATAAGTAATCGAAACCTATTATTTACCAAGTATAAGTAATCGAAGAACTGGAAGATTTCTGAGCGAGCACATCAACATCAACCCCGAGAGAACATTCGCAGTGGTGTATGTTATTTAATGTTATTGTCTTGTTATTGTTATTAATCAGTGTTATTGAAGTAGGTAATATTCGTGTCTTAAGTGTTTGTCGTTCTTCGAGTATTGAGAGACAGACAGACAGATAGACAGACAGACAGACAGAGTCAAGAAGATGGTTAACAAGCGAGTTACGTCAACACTAAAATCTCATTGGATAAAATTAAGTTGAATAAAGAGTCAGGGGTCGTGTGTGTGTGTGTGTTGGCATGACACTGACCTTTAAGCCCGTATACACACACACAATTTTCATGAACGTGTCCCTCTCTCTACACACACACACACACACTTAACATCTGTGAGGGAGGAGGAGGCGTCCCCATCACCTTTTCATCCCCCACCCACACCCCTGTGATGTCATAGCTACGACCTCTCCTCCCTCTCTCCCCACACACACTCACTTCACCTCTTCCTTCCTCTCCACTCATACACTCAATGCATCTCTCCTTCTCTTCCTCCATACACACACTCTAAGTTAACTTCTCTAATCTTCACGTGAAATAATCTGGGGTGGCTAATCTTCAGGTGAAATGATCTGTGCTGAATAAGATGGGGTGGCTAATCCGTTTAACGTTATCCTAGCCATTTACCCCAATACCAAACCATAAACAACCCTAAAATTGGTTTGGTTAGGTTAGGTAAGACATTTGTTTCGAGAAGGGAAGGGGAATAATTCAGTACATCTCCGAAAATCTGAACATCCGAGGGAAAGTAGAATATAAACATTAGCTCAGACTTGCAACTTACACAATATACCGTGAAGGCTTTTATAACACCACCCCCCCTCTACCCCTTCACGTGACTGGATATCTACAGTGTTACATCATAAAAACAAGCGGTTATGACGCCAGCTGACACATGTATTATTATCTAAACCTTTTCGTTATTCTCCTAAAAAAAGAAATGTTTCAACAATAAAATACTCGCTGGAACTCATTGATGTCGCCACTCACCACCAGAGGCACTGCTAGATCTTAATATTTACACTGAACATTTTTAGAATTTACAACTGTTGGGGTTTGATTTACAACAAAGTCCGTAATTTACTACATAAAAAAAACTGAATTTACAATATACCTTTTCAGAAGATACTTATTTACAACCTCAATTTACAATACCATAACCTAAAGTTTTAACCGACCGATTACAACAAACTTTACAAAGGATAATAATTTACAACATACGGATCTTAATATATTTTTTACAACAGGTGGGCGTTTACGTACTTTTACAAGAGTGATGAGGCAATTTACAGGTTCCCGGCCCATCATAACAGGTGGAGCGTAGTACCGCCCATCCCACCCTGCCCGCCCACCCCACCCACACTGACTGCATGGCTATTTAAGGCTTCTGTGACCTTCTGCATCCCTTACCCCCCCCCACCCCCCTCTTTTATCGCTCCCTCCCCACTCACCTATTCCTCCCTCTCACCCTCTCTCCCTCCTATCACCCTCTCTCCCTTCCATCACCCTCCCTCCCTTCCATCACCCTCTCTCCCTTCCTCCCTTCCTCACCAGCCCCCCCCCTCAGTCCATAAATTCTCCATACATGGCTGTGTTTAGTAGTGCAATGTCCGCCTTGTCTGACCTGACGAATGGATTTTTTTTCTCAGCTGATTTACTCAACTTATGACTAATTTTTATTCAATTTTTAATATTTCTGAGAATTGTGATTTTTATGTCACTTGTAGTTTACTGGCAACGTCTCACTAGCGCTTTTGGGTTATTTTCTTGTTATTTTTCTTCCCTGCTCCTAATATAAACAATGATATTACATGTATTTACGATTATCAACATCATTAAAGGTAGATATATAGATAGATAGATGGATTCATTCAATATAATCGTCGTCATCAAAGTCCATCGTATTGTACAATGGAAAAAACTACAGCAACATTTTACTCACATTTTAAAATAGTACTGGAATTACTCTGGCTGGATCTAATCTTTAGTTTTAATTCCTGGATCCTTCACTGTCCTTCGGCATCCTTGTGAAATAATAGAAGATCCCTATCACTATAATATATGGCGATTTGTAAAGTATCTTCTGCTTGGTCTTTCCGGTCGCCATTGCATCGCGTTCACGTATGAAAATTTCAAAATTCAAATTTACGAGATTTAAAAATTTTCACATATAGTCGTTTAATCCTTAGTTTTATGTTTTTAATATATTATTTTTTCGTGGTGTATTTACATAGAAATATATATATTTCAGTTTATTGTGTTGAATATATGTTTATTTTTGTGTTCAGAATTGAATGTTCTATCAAAGAAAATGTATGTGCATTACTAACTAATCGGGGGAACGTCTCTAAACTATGAATTCTGGTAAATTACAAATTAAATGTGAGTATAAACGATAAATATATATTCAACATAGTTTATCGATTACATATTCATTTACTCCGTGTTTAAGGCGTTCAGGAAACCCTTTGTCTTTTCTGAGAACGTCATGTAAGGGCAGGAAAAAAGATTAGATAGAGGCGTATCCGCCCATACGAACACTGGGCCATTAGCATAACAGCTCCTAACTTAAATGTAAATAACAGTAAGACGCCACTTTCACCCTCACTCCACACGCCCAACACTTACACTGTCCGGGGCCTGGATTTTCATAGTCTCATACGATAGATATTCCTCATAAGATTGTATCTAATTGGTGAAGATAAAACACTAAATTATGTATAAATTTTTTATCAGAATACTTCCTTTGTTTTTATCTCCTGTTGCTAATTAAACGTATCTGGTTAAGTCAGAGTCTCAGTGTAATAATGACGGAATTTTGGGGTCTTGTTTTCGTGTTGTATCTTATGTCAATCAGTTAGGGACATTTTTACATCTTGAGTTATAAGAATTATTTGTCATAAGACCTGAGAATTTTGACCCAGACATGGCAACTGCTACAGTCAGGGAATGTACTCAAAA